AAGGCCCTCAGGATGCGAATAGACTAGGACTGTAAGAGTTCTCAATTTATGACAGTGACATATGTAATGTACTCCTACAGGTCGTCCAGCCATGTTGACCCAGACGACAGAGGCGAAGGTGGAAGCGATTTGACTACGCGCGCAGAAGTTGATCGTCGCAGGACCCCCATCAACTCCCCACCTTCTTCAGATGAAGACCCAGAGGATGTCGCTGACCTCGGGTCCGTCTACGACTTTATCGAGGTCTCTGCACCAAGACCGGAAGGTCCCTCAAACGCTGGCGGACCGTCTTCTAGTCACTCCAGACGAAATGCGATCATGTTGGACGACAACGAAGACAATCGAGTTGAAGACATAGATATGAATGCTGCAACAGTTATTCAAACTGACGAAGACGTACAGAGGAGCTGGCAGGAGCAGCAGGGGAAGGACAGGGAGGTGCAACCACCAGGTGAGCTGCTGCATACAGTACGATGTTACGTCCTGTGAGGTTACTGAGACCTCATTGCACAGACAAAGGCCCTGAAGATATTGAAGAAGCGCCAAACCCATGGGCACCGTTCCAGTCCGAGATGGACTGGAGGTTCGCATCGTGGGCAGTTCAGGAGGGCCTAAGTCAAGGCTCTGTAGACAGAGTCTTGGAGATACCGGGGGTGAGTAGTATTGCGTTGCAGCTCAAGCTGTATGTACTAACTCATTTTGCGTCTGTGGCGCCCTAGTTCCAGGAACGACTAGGGCTGTCTTATCACAACTCACGAGCCCTGCTTCAGCGAGTGGACTCGCTTCCAGAGCGCGCCGAATGGAAGGAGAGGTGGCTCACCTTCAAGGACCGACCCAATGAGCGACATCTAGTACAGTTCCGGGACATAATCGAGGCGATTCGAACGTTGTTAGGCAACCCTGCCCATGCAAATCAGATCGTTTACCGTCCAAGACGCATATTCAGTGACGCCTCAAGAACCAATCGCATCTACCATGAGATGTGGACTGGACGTTGGTGGCATGCTGTGCAGGTGAGCATTACTTTTGCTGTACGTCAGTGAATGCACCGATGTTTACCTTGTTGTTTGTCAGAGTCTCTTGCCAGACGGGGCTGCTGTTGCGCCTGTCATAATCGCTACAGACAAAACCCAACTAACGCAGTTTTCTGGCGGAAAATCTGCCTACCCCGTCTATATGACGCTAGGCAACCTACCGCGCGCTCTGAGACGCAAACCGTCAGAACACGCGTGTATCCTCATCGGATATCTCTCCGTGGACAAAATCGAATCGGACGGTATTACGAAACGCAAGCAACGGGCCCTCGCGCAGCAACTCTTCCACACGTCCGTACGTGTTATCCTCGAACCGCTTGTTGAAGCTGGAAAACGCGGGATCGATGTGACCGGTGGGGATGGTGCGGTGCGCAGGGTGCACCCGATTCTAGCCGCGTACGTCGCTGACTACCCGGAGCAATGTCTCGTTACATGCTCAAAGTACGGGACTTGTCCGAAATGTCAACTACCGGAAGACAAGCTCGATTCACCCACTCCTGGCACATCTCGAACATCATTATGGACCCTGGACGTTCTGCGCCTCGCAACCGATACCAGCGGCGGCAAGAAGGATTCTCCTGCGTACGCTCGAGCGTGCAATGAGCTGAACGTGTGCGGTTACGTCGTACGTCCGTTCTGGCGCGACCTACCGTACACCGACATTCACGCCTGTATCACCCCCGATGTTCTGCACCAGTTATACCAGGGCGTGTTCAAACACATAGTCCAGTGGTGTACTGAACTGGTTGACGAACAGGAGCTTGACCGTCGCATTCGATGCCTACCGCCTGCCTACGGAACTCGTCATTTCAAGAATGGCATTTCCGCTCTATCTCAGGTCTCCGGTACTGAACGCAAGTATATGGCGCGTATCCTCCTTGGATGCCTGGTTGGAAAACTCCCTCGGAATGCAATCATTGCATTCCGATCCATCCTTGATTTCATCTACCTAGCACAATACCCCACACACGACGACACCACCCTGCAATACATGGAGGATGCGATCGCGATTTTTCACAAGAATAAGCAAGTTCTCATCAATCTCGGCGTTCGAGAACATTTGAACATCCCTAAGTTCCACTCTCTTTTACACTACGTGGACTCGATTCGCCTGCTAGGTACAACCGACAACTACAATACCGAGGCGTTCGAACGCCTGCATATCGACTACGCTAAGAATGGCTGGAGAGCCTCGAATCATCGGAACGCCCGCCCACAAATGGTGACCTGGCTTGCACGCCAGGAGAAGATGGTCATCTTCAGCTCGACCATGCGTAGACGACTCGAACGGCGCAGGGACTACCGAGAAGACGACAACGACGATGATGATGTCGACGAGGCGCGCCCAGCTGTAGAACACACTGGCAAGACGAGCATCAAACTGCCGAAGCATCCAACGGTTCCCATGCAGTCCCTCGATCGAATTGAAGAGAGACACAACGCACCTGGGTTCAAGAACACACTAGCACAGTACATCTATACGCTCAAAAACAATCGACGTCTCACCCCTGTTCAGCTTCATACAGCAGTATCCCACATGCCTTTCGATCGCGTCGACGTATTTCATGGGTTCAAGTTCGCGCCCGAACCGTTGACAGATGGCAAAAACGAGACCGACGCAGTCAGGGCGCGACCTTCATTTGGAGAACAAACCAGTCGATTCGATACGGTGGTGGTATTACAAGATGAAGAAGCTGAGGCTACTGGGCTACAGGGTAAGTATGTTTCTCAGTTGTTGTGTCGAGGATTCTTACTCATATCATGGCCACCATCAGGCACGAGAATTGGACGTGTTAGAGTCATATTCAGACTTCCAGAGCATATTACAGACCCGCGCACTCGCATTCCCTTGAGCGCCCCAGCATCATGGGCAGAACAAGGGCCATTGGCCTATGTAGAGTGGTACGCCAAGCTCTCTTTGGCTGCTGACCCTACGCATATGATGTATGGGGTCAATAAATCCCCATTGCGCTCAGATGGTAAGCCTGTTGCAGACATTGTTCCCCTCAGTACTATACGGCAATCTTGCCAGTTGATACCTGTGTTCCCTGGTTCTGTAGGTGATAAGGCTGAGCAATTACCTACTGATTGGAACACTAATACTGTACTGGACACTGCATCTAAATTTCTACTTAACAATTGGGCGAGTTCTTACGCATATCAGACTCTGTGGTAGTAATTCATGCACATAGTAGATCTTGTATTTGGGGCCTCAAAGTGAATTTGAGTGCGAACACCGATACTCGGAATCTTGTGTGACATAACCTCACTTCTGAGGCGTCGGCTTAAGCAAAAGCCAGCGGACTGATGTGCCTTCAGTGACCCAAGGCCCATCTTAAGTACTCTAACGTGTCTTTTGGATATTCCGGTGCATATATAAGAGTATAAAGTCCAAAAACGTACCCAATGTTCTTGTAAAGACCACTTAAGCTATCTAGGTTTTTCCTGATGTACCCGCGGACCTACTCCGACGCGCAGTGGACCATCGACAAAGAACAAGTCGCGACGTGTCCCAGCGTCTGGGACGAGGACACTACCGCTGCTGGCTCGGAGACGGGGGAAGGCGGCGGCGAGTCAGAGGGGAAGAACGGCGACAGTTTGGAGGAGTGAGAAGGGGCGGCAGATGCTTGTGTAACGTCGTGACTGGTTGTATCATACAGACATGTAGTGTTCTGGGTCGCAAAAGTCATGTACAATGTACAGTATAATGAGGCGCAAATGATGTACATTCTTCACAGTGCTTGAAAATGTGGTGGAAATCCCATAGCTTGAGACGAGTGTGCTTGTGAAGCGTAGTGAACGGTTGAGACGTACAATCAATTATTATGTGCTTATAGTAGCTACTGAAGCAGATATGTAGTTTTAGTGGTGTCAAGGACTGCTGAATGGACGTATTAACATGGATATAGCGCGTGCAGAGCTGCTCAACCGCATTTTGTGAGCCATAAACCGCTCTTTGTCGCTCATATCGCAGTTCATGCTAATTGGGAAAAATCCCAAACCATTTGGCGCCGAAAGTGTTTTTCCTGATGATGAGGCAGACTGTGAGGTCGTTTGAGTTCAGAGCCCGTGAGTGGGAGGGCCGCAAAGTGGGCAGCACAGGACGGCGGTGCTATGCGATGAGACAAACTGCAGTATGGCAGGGACTCGCCGACGAGGCGCGAAGGTCATTTGAAAAGGCGTTGGACAGCAGTATTTAGCGGCCCACTACATGAACACAACCGAGGCCCCTGCCGAGGCCTAGCATGTGGCAACATCCACATCAACGTACATACACCGCCTGATCTATCCGGACTAAAGACCGAGTCCCGCCTTTACAATATCTACGGAACTCCACGTAATCTGGCGCAAGCCCGCCCATCTAAATACGTCGTCCTTTTCGAACCAGGCAAATGACGTACGCTCCCCTTCATATTCGCCCACTGAATGCTGGAGCATATGCCCTGCAATGCCGATAATGCCTCCCGGCGACTGATCAATGTCGACCGGCCCGTTATGAACGCGGAAACGACCGCCCTTGAAGTCCCCAACTGTAGCCAGAACATCAAAGGCAGGGTACGGTGTGCCGTCATCGAAGTGCGGAGGGCAAATCCGGTTGTTGATGACCTGCATGGCAGAAAAGCACGAAGGCCAGTGCGTCAAGACCTCCTCCAGTGCGGACTCCTGCGCCAATCGGCTGCGGCACTGCATACCAAGCCTGAACTGCTCGGGATGCATGACGGCGATGATCGCAGATACGAGCGCGTTGATCTCGGCCATTTTGTCAAGAAACCGGAGGCCGGATTCGCGCTTTGTCCCTGTCATCGTCGCCGATGTGCTCGGCGTTGCCGAAGCCGTCTGTCTGCCCTCAACATTGAGGAAACTATTCAGATAAGAATGCCTACCTTGATGCCCATGGGAAACCATCCCGGGGCAAACGTCGGTGTGCCGGGCGGCGGATAGCTACCTGGCGGGCTTCGGAAATATATGTTGTTGCGCCGCCAGCTAGGCTTCTGCTTTACGGCCTCGTTCTTTGGTGCGTTCTCCCGCAGCTGGCGAGGAATCTCGTGGATGGCGTCTTGCATAATATCCTTTGATGCCGTGAGACAAAGCCCAACCCAGCGAAGGTCAGAACAAACCTGACGAGAATCGAGCAATATTCCGGGAAGATACCAGAGCAACAGCGCTCCGTGCTTATCCACGAGGATTGCTGGCAGCCTCCATATCGCCTCGTCCTCACCATATGTCCCGCCGTGCATCAAAAGCTCGTTGTCCGGCTTCTCCTTCAAGGTGTCCTTGAGGGCCTTCAGTCTTTCGCAGTAACGTATGGCATCGATCGCTTCCGCCGTCTCTGCAGAAACACAGTTAGTAACGGAGAAAACGCATCGGACGCTTCCAATACAAACGGCAGTTCATTACGGCCTCTGCGATCATTCTCCCTGCAAAGCCGCACTGCGCGGCCAGCGATGCAGAGAGGAAAGCCGGCTGGTCTCCGGGAATTTCATCAGGCATAGGCGGGGCTGGTTTGCCCCGCTCTTCCAAAATCGCTCGAATCGCACGCATCGCCGCAGCACGAACAACCCCAGCTGCCACATTCACCAGTGTGGGCGCTGCAAGGATGCAGATCAGTGGAGATCGCCACCCAAGCGACGTACTTTACCTGATAACAGGACCATCGTCGCAGGACACCTCCAATGAGTCGAGGGAGGCATTGCATGGTATTTCTAAATCTGGCACGCTCGTGACTGCACCGAATCCAGTCAACAAGATCCCATCGAGTGACGTTGCCCCAGGATCTCAGATCGCCCCACAATTGCCCGGAGAAGCCGTCGGTAGACGCTCTAGCCGGACGGCCAAGTGCCACAGGGCTAAGTGAAACACCCGAAGCGCAACACGCAGTCGCGCCGGGATATCGGCCAGCCGATGTTGCGCCGCAACCATCAAGGGATATATTTGATGGCGGCCCCGGTGATGGCGGCCGACACCCGAAACTGAGGTTTGCCTCGGGCGACTCGTCTGCTCCTCGCCAGCAAATATTCTGCTGCTCCCTGCCTCGCTGAGCTCGTCATGAAGAAGCCCAACATCGACCTCCATGACGCGCAGATCGGCGTCCTCGAGGGGTTTACAAACGCCTTTCGACTGGCGAAAGAGGCGGAGAAGGACGGCGTGCTCAAAGAGGCCGTAGCCGAGCTGGGCAAAATGGACCTCGGAGCGATGACGAATCTTTCTCTGAACGACAGGGCGGAGGTAAGTACATCCGGCTCTCGGCTGGGTGCTGGCTTACATCGAGCGTAGGTGGTCAGGAAATGGTTGGCGAAGAACTCCCAGGAAAAGGCCAGGAGGAAGAAGAAGCCGGCAGCAAAGGGGAGTACGCGCGGGTGTGATATGTTTTTGAACGAGACAAAGGAAGACGTCCACAGCCGCGCGTACCAAGAGGGCACCAGCGATCCTCTAAAGAAATTCAGGGTGGCGCGTTGGGATGTCTGGCACGAGTTGACGAGCGAGGAAAAGAAGGAGTACGGAGAGCGGGCGAAGAAGCTGCGGGAGTTGGTTCACAAGGAGGGGGCGCCCATTGAGCCTCCAATCAAGCCGGCAGAGTGAGTGGCCCCGCCTTTTCTGCCTGGATGCGGATCTCACACTTCCATAAAGTTCGATCGGGAAAGCCGTCAGGACGAAGCTGGTGCCGTTTGCGCGTAAGCTCCTCATTGAGGACGGGGTGTGGATGAACGTCATGTGGGGAGCATTCAGCAGCGATAAGGGCCCGGTGATTGGAATGTACGTCCTCTTTCCTTGCAGTGGCTGAATGAACGCCAACATGGAGATAGGGAGGATCACAACAAGGCGAACGGCGCACCCATGAACTTCACCGAGATATGGGACAGACCGGACTGGGAGAGAGAACGTCTATGGACGGATTGGGACAACTTCGTAACATCCATGCATCAGGAGGACAAGCCGGCAGTAGTCGCCGCAGGGCCGAGCGGCAAGGCCGTCAAGGCCCAAAGAAAGTCTGCCTTTGGTACGATGCTCGTCCTCGACGATGCAACGGGTCTGCCTTCGCTTCCGAGCGCCTCAACACTTGACGAAAGCAGGCACAAGACTGCGCAATGGTGGCAGCACACCGTCCGAGAGTTCCTCACGTTTCATTACGGTCCGTTGGTTGTAAGCCGTAGAAGCGACGCCGCTGATTATTCATCCAGCCGCGGCCTCCAACGGCAAAAAAATGGCACTGCCTTACGCTAAGCTGAAAGGCAAAGGCGCACCGCGGTGTCTTGATCCCCAGTTCTGGCTAGAAGACGTAGACTTCGAGGATCCATCGAAAATCAAGAAGGCGAACTGCATTCGCCTCCTCGTCTTCTGGAGCGACCTTCTGAATGGCGAGGAGGGCGTACGATCCTTCAAGTTCGAGAGCTACCTGGAAGACGTCGACGGCGAAGTCGAGGTGATGTCTGAAGAGTATGAGGAGTATATCGCCCGCTGGGTGGAGGATGCGCCGAGGCGAGAGGCAGTGCGAGCCAGGGAGGCCAGGCTGGGGGATGAGGCTGACGAGGGGGCGTCTGAAAGCTCAGTGGAGGCAATGCAGGAAAAGCAGAGAAAAGCCAAGAAAGGTGTGCGCGAAAACATTAGCCTGTGCTGTCTTCTGACGGCTTCCAGGCAGTCGCACTGCATCATCGTCCAAGCCGAAGACGTTGAAGCCGCGAAATACGAAGAAGCCGAAGCTATCGAAGAAGGCGAAGGGAAAGCGAAAGGCGACTCACAGTGAGGTTGAAGAGTCTGAATCTGACAGTGACACCGACGGGTGGACCTCCGAGGTCGGCGAAGACGGCCCTTCGCACGAATCCGACAGTCCAGCAGTGTCACAGCCGAGCTCGGCTGCGCAGAGTGAGGCGCCCTCAACGCCGGACACGTTGATCGAGGAGTCGTGGCACCTCAGAGACGTCGCAGTCGAAAGCGCGGAGCAGTATAGAGGCAAAGCACCAAAGGACGTCCGTGGAGAACAGAAGCGCTTCATATATCTAGCGACCCTCAGTCAGGACGGGCGATATCAGGCCGCGGTTGAGAGCTGCTTCGAAGTCGTCAACAGCTTTGGCCGCCAGAAGCCCCGAGCGCCCTCCCTCCGCCCAGCGCCGCTTGACGGTGCTCCATGGGCCTCTTGGGACTGGCAGCAGGCCACCATGCCTGAGGACGTTCATCTTCGGCGAGACGGCCTGGAGCCCCTGCTTCAGGAGCTCGAAAAGAAGCCGTGGATGTGCGGAAACGTCGCTTGTCTCAAAAAGGCCGAGCAGGTACTCCTCTCCGTCGGGATTGCACTTCGCGATATAAATGCCTTTCAATTCAGGCACGACCCTGACGAGCCCGCTCCGGTCCATATCCCCCCCTTCGTCGAACACAGTGAACTTGACTTCAGGGATGGCGAGAAGCTGCTGACTCTCATCCAGCCCATTTCCACTGTGCCAATCATTGACGGCATCCCAGGCTCCACGGACTTTCAGCGAAAGGCGGAGGATGCCGCAATGAGGCTTGAACACCTTCGTCAGCAGACGGCCTTCCAAGAAGCGAGGTCGCCTTCTCCGCCTCTACTGGCCCAATCCCCCCCACAGGCAGACATCCCGCCAAAACAATGGACGGCAGAAGCACTTCATGCGTCTCTTCTGGCACTCGGTGGTGTGGGAGAATTCGTTCCACTTCATGCGCCCGTGCTCGCTCGGCCTCAGTCTCAAACGTCTGCCGAACAGGGGCCAACCAATGCAACTGGGGCAGCTGCGACGGTCAGTGCTTCAACTGCCGTCATGATGGAAGCGACGAAGGCCGGGGGTGCTCATGTAAAGGACGGTGCTGCTGACGAGGCTCCCGCTGAGGAATCACTGCGTGCTCAGCCCTCCTCTCAATAAGTGGACGAGGACCTGCCAGTACTTCGGAACCCAGGCAGCAGAGAGATGCGGAGGCCTCTTCTTTCCAGTCTGCATCTCAAGATGCGAACCCTGCCACTGACCAGCAAAGACGCGATTCAGAAGCCGCGTTGAGCGAGAGCCGACTGAAAACCACGAAACAGAGGTTCCGCGCCAGACATGGACGAGCGCTCAATTGTTTTGGAAGAGACCGAGGCGGCAGCATCTGGCCTGTCCAATGGTCCGCCAGAAGTGGCCGCAGCCGAGCCCATCGCCCAGCCTCACTCTCCAACCCCCACGGTCTCTGAGATGGCGCCTTTGGGGGCGCGGGTGGAGAGCGCCTCTCCTCCGGAGTCAACAAAAGACCTCGGTCGAAAGCCTCCGTCGCGGAAGCGCAACAAGCCGGACATTGACAATCCCGCATCCTCGAGCAAGCCCCCGTCTAAACGGCGAAGGACGAGTCCAGTCGAGGCCCCCACGGACGGTGGCAGGCAATCCAGCCGGTTGAAGGCCGGGGGCCCGCAGCTTCGGGAGAAGCAGAGGGCGAAGACGCTTGAAGCGGCGGGTCGTGCATGATGGCAGTCTTATGTAGTTCGCAGTCCATACGCGCAATGTCATTTCATTTAGACGAGTCAGAGTACAACAACCTATCGAGAATCAAAACATTACAGAGGTACATTGTTTCATTGTCCGGGTCACTCGCTGATGTCCATTGCCTTCACGCCACATTCGTCGGCCTCTCCCTTCGCTCGATCGCACGCCTCTCCCCCCGAAGGCCCGGCCTCGTGACTCGATGGACCCGCCTCTCCCCCGCATGGACCTGACGCAGCCTCGATTGCATGCTCGGGCGCATGCTTGGGTGTAGCGTCGACTTGGATGTCCTGCTCCATCTCCTCAGACGCGCCAACCTTGGTGCTCGCTTCCTCCGCCTTTTCGCCGGCTCCGGAGGCGACAATGTTGGTCTCTTGCCCGACCGGCTGTGCCTCAGCCGTGGGCAGCGCCGTCGGTTCCTCAACAATGGCCTCCAGACCGTCCGTCTTCTCGATGGTTGAGGACGTGGGACGGAGGAAAGGTGACGAGTCCTGACGCTCCGAGGGTTGGTCAGAGCCATATCCCGTGAGGCCTGCGAGAAGGGCTGGACGAACAACAGGGCGAGCTGGGGTCCTCGTCCGGAGTGCGGCATCCTTCGCAAGCCGCACAGGATGCACTTCTTCGTCGTTCGCCCCATGCGCCGGGGAAGCGATGGGAGCGCGGCGGCGAGGAAGAGGCGGGGCTGCGTTGCCGTCATCGCCGGGGGATTGCATGGGAGGGACCGCCCAGCGCGGCATGACTCCGGGGTAGGGGACCGGAGCCGGCTTGGGCTCAGGCTGCTCCGGTTTGCCCTGCAAAAGTTTGAATGCGAGCCCGGTGTGCATGTCCTCGATGCGGCGAATGCTCTCGTCCATCCCATGCCTCACCGCCTTCACGGTCATTTCGCCCCACGTCTTGAGCTCCTCCGCTGCCTTGAGCCGCTTCTCCATTGACTCCCGGGAGGCGGAGAGGTCGGCAAGACGCGCCTCGACTCCATCGAGGCGGTCTGCAGTCGTCCTGAACTCGTTACGCAGCTGCCGAAGCTCCCTGAGGACCGCACCGTTGGAAGACCCACCCATGGCCTTGAGTTCTTCGACCTCCAGCTTCATGGCCTTCACCTCCTCGACCGCCTGAAAGACGACGTGGGCCTGATCAGCGAAAACGCCTGACCAGAGGCCAGACATTATGCCGAATGTTTTGCTGCACGGCCCCCTATGGTCGGTGACAATGTTGCGCATGCCGGTGATCTCGGCGTCGACTCTGGCCTTCCGCTCAGCCAACGTGATGGGGGGGCCTGAAGTCCGCAATGGCGAGGCGGGCATCGGACTGGCCGAGCGGGACGGCAGATGAGGCGACGGCCAACGAGTGGGAGGGGATGGTGATTCACTCTCGCTGAATGGAGGCGACCGCCCCTCATCGTCGCTGATGGATATCACGGAGGCCTCGTCGAGCTCCCGGAACCTCTTCTGGATTTGAGCCGGCTTCTTGCCCGCGGCGCGCTCGGAGAGGACGGAAACCTGTGTCAAAATGAGAACAAAGCACACACGCCGAGGGGTAAGGCTCACCTTGCGGGGGGCCGGGAGAGGCGCATGCGCCTGAATGGGCTCCTCAACGCGGGCCTCGACCATTTCCACGTCTTCATCCTCCATTTCCTCCTCGGCATCCACGGCCTCTTCCTCAGTCTCAGGCACGACCTCATCCTCACTGTCCGCCACGTTGGGCGAAGACGCCTCTTCGACGGCCTGCGGACTATTCTTGGCAGGAGACCGCTTCTGCGGACCGGATGCCGCACGCTTCAGCTCGCGTTCGCTTTCCACTTCAATCTCGCCTTCGCCTTTGTTCCCGAGCTGAGGAGGGTCCGCGAGTGTCCCTTTCTTTTTCGCGGCCTGACGCCTCTCCACCCAGTCAACCAGGGAAGCCGCGACGTCGTGCTCTGTGCTGTCCCACGTTTCCAGGTCTTCCACCCACTGCTGGTCTTTCCCATTCCAAATTGCGACGTCGGGGTAGATCTTGCCTTCAGCCTTCAGCTTCGCAACCCGCTGTGGTGATTGCGAGTCCCCGGTGCGTGGACGACGCGGAAGGGAATTCTTGGTATCAGTGAAAACGATGGGCGGGGGTCGTTGGTACCAGTTGACGGTTGGCGGAGGAAGCGAGCGAGGTCCGTGGTACCTCGCGGAGGGAAAAGGGGGAATGGGGTGGTGTGCCGCACGCTTCGTCCGCGCTGTCCTTTAGTGAAGACTGCCTTTCCTGAGCCTGGTATACTCGATAGCCTTCCCTCCGACGTTCCTAACCTGAGTTCTCCTCGATCCTGAGCCTGAGCCTAACTTATGCGACCTTCCTTAGCCTGAACGCGAGCCTGAGACGAGACCTGAAGCCTGAGATTGCCCGGCGCAACCTAGATACTGAGTCCTGAGAGGTAGTGGTAGGTAACTAACTCCCTCCCTCCTTCCGTCCCCCTTTCTAAGTCTCCTCCCGCCACTGTTTTCCCACATCCTACCCTCGCTGGCACCCGTTCCTCTCCTCTCCCGTTCCTTCCGCACCCGCCGCGTCTCCTTCCGACCCCTCGCCGTACCCCTTCTCCAACTCCTTCCGCTCCCTCCGCCTCCTTCCGACGCCTCGCTATACCCTTCTCCAGCTCCTTCCGCCCCCTCCGCCTAGCTCTCAGTGTTTCCCCACCGTCTGCGATGCCTGCCGATGCTCCCCCGAACCCATCCACCATCGTCTTCACCACCCGGTTCTACCGCCTCATCGATCTTCTCCGCGACGAACGTGTTGTCGAGCCTCGCCTGAACCCTGATAGCGACCACGAATGGCTTGCCTGGGCCCATGGAGCTCGGTGGTTAATCATGCGTCTTTTCCTTCGTCCTTCGTCCTGATCCCCCTCTAAGCCGTCCCCCCCCCCGCAGCGAATGCTCTTCGACTCTCGTTCCCGTGCGGTTGCCCACGGCGACGCTTCCCTTCCGCTCGTCCGCCGCTATCCCGACGTGCAGGAGCTGATCGAGTACCTCGACCAAGTCTTCCTCACTCTTCCGTCACAGCATAGCTACGTGGGCGAACCCTTCCCTTTGATCGCCTGGGCCCCGAATCGGGTCACCGCTGAGCAGGCCGACGCAGAGATTGGTTGTCCCCTCCTTCCGGTTCGCTACTTGGAGCGTCCCTTACAGCTCTCGTCCTACCGTGCTTCGTCCGACAGCCTCGACAGCCTCCTTACTCGGTTCCAGGGCCTCCTAGACGAGTGCCGCACCGCTAACCGCGATGCTCGTTCCGAAGCTGTTCGTATCGCCCGGGGCTTGAATACGGTCGAGGGCGGTGTCCGCGACTTGCACGCCCGCCTGTCGGAGGGAGTCTACGTCCCAGACAGCTACTCCGGGGTACCTCGCCGCCTGCGGTTCGCGCCTGTTAGGGATGTCGATGATCTGGAGGAAGGAGAGGTTGAGGACGCCATGGGGGAGGAGCCTGTTGTCCATGTACTGTAGCCGTCTTCCTCCCGCGTGTTCTTATATTGGTTGTCCTTCCGCCGAGTCGTCCTTCCGCCAATGGATGTCGCTTCGCTCCGCATTGCCTGGGCCTGAGTGCGTGTGTCGTTCCGGGCTCGTACCGCTGTTCCCATGTGGGCCTGCCCCACATCTACCCCCACCTTGAAATTTTGACCGTCCCCGGTCAGACTCCCCTCCTTCCCGATATGGTACTCCTCCGCCGCCTTCAGGATCGTCCCAAGTCTTGAGCGATCGGTGATCGATCACGGCCTTCTGCTCGCCTGAGCCCATTCAGTGGAAAACCTCGCTGTTAACGGTGCAGCCGGAGTGCATTTTGACTGTTGCAAACGGTAGAGCCGCCTCCGGCCGGAGTAGTCCGGGTCTACTGTTAGCAACAATGCACCGCTTGCAACAGGCCGGCCGGGCTTTTGGCTGAGGCAATGTACCTGTTGTAAACAGTCCGGTTGTAGAGGCAACAGTCCGGCCGGACCCATACAACATCACTGCAAACAGGCCGGGTGGAGGGCAGGGTTAGCACATGCAACAGAGCGGCCGGCCGGTCCACGTTGCAAACAGAGTGGCCGGACTCAGGCCCCACCACTTCAAATGATCCGGCCGGGATAAAATCCTTTCATTGCAAGCGGACCGGCCGGAGTGAAATCCATCTGGTCCAGGATGGGTTCTCCAGCCTAAACAAACTGACTCCACAAACAGGCCGGCCGGGCAGGAGTTGTCCTGCTTCAAACGGTCCGGCCGGTCACAGTCCCCTGGGGGCTATTGAAATACTATATGTGGTATTATGCACCTATGGGGTATACCATCATTAGTAGATCACAGCATAATTTTCCCATGACTTAGGGATGCCTAGTGAAGCTGCAAAACACAAAACAGCCCCACTGGCTGGCCAAATTAACTGGCCAGAGATTTCACTCACCCAGGTTTTTGCTTTACTGGCCATGAAATTAGCCAGGTTGTCCCTACAGGGCCAAATCAATAGGCCGGACATTTCAAAACATTGGCTGGGCATTTTAGTTCATTGGCCGAAGTTTTTACTTCATTGGCCGAATGGTCTATTGTTGACTGGCCCAGCCAATACTGGGTCACAATACTGTTGCCCGGCCGGACCGTTACCAATGGATGGTGCCACTGCCCGGCCGGACCGTTACCAGTGTGGAGTGCTAGATTATATGGCCTGGCTAGCCTGCTATCAATGTGGAAAAATGGTCCGGCCACTCCGTTGCTGGCTAGAGATGATGCAACCCGGCCGGTCTGTTATTAGCCAGGGAGCATATGCTCCGGCTGGCCCATTGCAACTGCTGAATTATGCACTCCGGCCGGCCCGTTACAAATGAAGGATCCCATTGCCCGGCCGGTTCGTTACCATAGGAGAAAGAGTATCCCGGTTGATCTGTTGTAAGTAAAACCCCTTATTGCCCGGCCGGTCCGTTGCCAGCAAGACACTAAATGGCCCCCTGTTCAGACAGAACATAGGTGCCCTAGGGATACACCGGCCGGACTGTTTGAACTGGTTTGAGATACGCTCGGCCGGCTTGTTAGAAACCAGTCCGGCCGGCCTGTTTGCAACGAGGAAATCACAGCTCCGGCCGGAGGTGGCTTTACCGTTTGCAACGGTCGAAATGCACTCCGGCTGTACCGTTAGTATCGAGTAGGTACCACTGAATAATGTGCTCGCCTTGCTTCTCTGGCGCTTCGTCCAGCGCGTTGATTGGCCGGGATAGTCTCTTGATCGGGGAATCTTCTTCCGATCAGTGTGGCTGGGCCTCGTCTCCCCGCGTATAAGGCTCGCCGCGCTCCTGCTCCTTCGTGCTCCTTCCTCCTCCCTCCTATCTCCTGTCACACATGTCTCGTCCTTCCCCGTCTCCTTCCGCCACTCTGGACTTCACCGCCGGTCTCCCCGACGAGGACTATCCAGTCCGCCTCGCCGCCTCCGCTGAACTGGTCTCCCTTGAGGCGCGAATCAGCGTTGTCGCCGCTCGAGAGCCGACCATGGGCCGCCATCCGTCGCACGCGCAGGCGGGCGCGTGGTTGATCTGGGGTCGCCAGTTATGTTACGCCTGGGTGAGTACCTCCGATGCCTCTCTCCCCGTCCTCCACGCTCACAGGTCCTTCCAGGCCGTGTACGACGTGCACCTCGACTACGTCCTCACCAACGGGCTGTTCGAGACGTGTTTGCGTCCCGAAACCGAGGCCGCTTTGGACGCCTTCTGGGAGCGGCTGGACGGCTTCGCCAGCCAGCCCTCCTGGTACCAGGGTTCCCTCCAGACCCTCCGGCAGGAGGCCCAACTGCGTGGCCGCCGGTACGGCTCGACCGGCTACTGGGCCGGCACCACCTTCGAGCTCTCCCCCGCCGTCCTCGCCACATCCCGTCGTCCCGCCTCTCGCGCTCCGTCCCCGTCGCCCGTGCCCCGTCCGTCCCCGCCCCTTGCCGTCGCTGCACACCTGTCTCCCGTCCCAGAGCCGGCCGGATCGCCCTCCGCCCATCTCCCGCCTCCGTCTCCCATAGAGTACGACGACCCGGTCCCCGAGCCCGCCGCTGACGACGAGCTCGTTCCCTCGTCCCTCGTCCCTCCCGCGGCCTCTGAGGAGGTTTCGGTGCCTGAGCCTCGGCTTTCCGTGGCGGGCCCGTTCGGTTTTCCGTTCCCCGAGCCGTCCTCCTCCTCCGGCGGTCGCTATGCTCGCGCCTCGTCCCTCTCGTTCACCGACCGAGACCCTTCCGTTCCGCCTCCCGCCTTCTCCATCCGCACCCCGCCGCCCGTGTCTTCGCCTTCCCTCGACCTGCGGGACCCCTCCGTCCCTCCTCCCGCTCCGTCTGCGTCTCCGCGGCCGCCCGGCTCCTCCCCTCTGTTCACTGAACGAGGCGCTTCGGTCCCTCCTCTTCCTCTTTTTGCCCCATCCCCGTCTCCGCCTGTTGCGCCTTCCATCCCCTCTCCGCCACCCGGTCCTCCTCGCGGAACTGCACTGTCACGGGCCCCGCCGACTCCGCCGCCCATCGATATGATTGAGGACGACAGTCCGGCCCGATCCATGTCGCCTCGTGCGCTGGAGGAGGCGATTTTCGCCAGCAATATTGGCACCCGACTGTACCGCCCGACCCAGCCGTCCTCCCCTCCCGACCCTCGTCTGTCTCGTCCGATGCCCTGCCGCGTTCACCTCAAGCTTCCGAACCGTGGAGCCGTTCCCGACGTCTCACCCTCCCCGACCATTGTCCTTCCGTCCCCCGCCCTCCCCGACAAATTCCCTCCGGTCCCGCAGCGCACCTCTAACGCCGAGCGCCCTCGGTATGGGCCGTTCGTCTATTCACCGACTACCCCCTGTCCCGAGTGCCGTCGGAACGGCTTCCGCTGCCGCATCGATGCCCTTCCGTGCCATGCGTGTGCCGCGTGTAGTTCGCGGAAGAAAAGGTGCGCGTTCAGCGCCTTCAGTGAGTTCCCGGTCTTCTTCCGCCTCTGCCTCCTGCTCACTCATCCCCTTGCTTTCCAGAAGAGGGAGCTCCAAGCTTCTTCTACATTGGCCACCATCCCGACCTTCCTCGATCCGCCCTTGACTCGTATGACTGGGTCACTGCCCCCGGGGGCACCCTCGCCGGTCCCCGCCCCTCGGACGTCCGATCCGACTTCCCGTTCCGCGGTGCTCCCGTGCCGCCTCCTCAGCCTCCCGCTCCTTCCCCATCCCTCGAGCCGGTCGCTGGTCCCTCGCGGCCTCCCCCGGTTCGTTCGGTCGCACCCGCCGCCCCGCCTCGCCTCCGGACTGTCCAGGATCGGCTCGATTGGATGGCCAGCCGATCTGGAGAACTCCAGCAGTTCTTCCGCCGCCCCGGTATGCTTGGTGCCCCCGAAGTCCCCGATCCGGAGGACGAACACGATGAGCTCGACGAAGATGTAGAGATGGAGGGTCCCGAGAAGCCCGAGCCGGAATGTGAGTCGGAGGAGGGTCAGTAGGTAGTCGTTTCCTCGTAGTGAATTGCTCGTTCCGATGTACTTGCCTCCGTGCGGTACCGCGCGTGTACAATGTATCTCCCCTTTGCCTCCGCGAGCCCTGCCTACCCTCCCGGTCCTCGGATTACCCGCCTGACAAGCTCCCCCGGCACGCGTCCGTCTTCCCCGTTCGACCGCGAATGGGGCCTCCGTTGATCCCCAATCACCTCAAGGCTTCCGCCCCGTGCGCCTAGTTAGTTGATCTCATTGATTTTGAGTGATGCCGACGCCTCGCGCCTACTGATCCTCCTCCCTCGCCTTCCATCGCTCATTCATATACCCACTATCCCCATCGATCCGTCCCTGCCTCGGGTGCGCTACCCGCTCCCCCGTTACTGCCTCGTTCTTAAGTTCCCCTCCAGGCCGTCACTCCTCCCCGCATTGTTTTCCCCTTCGCCCGTTCCCATGAGTGGCCTTCGGACTCGCATTCCTCCCACCGCTCGCCGTCCCTCCAGCGTCGGGCACTGTCCCTTCTTCGACCCCGACGAGATTCCCCTTCCGTTCCCCCCATCGCCCTCACCCGTCGACCCTTCCGCGCCCGTCCCGATCTCCACCCTTCCTATCGAGGAGCGCCTTACCCGTCTTGAGGCTTCTTCCGCCCGGCAGATCCGCCAACAGGAGCGCATCTGGGACGAGTTCGTCGAGTTCCGCCGCACCGTTAACACGATGCTCGAGAGTCACGCCAGGGATATCGATCGCGGAGACACACGCATCGCGATCCAAGTTAACGGACTCCTCGATTTGTTCCTGGAGCACCGGAGGAACTACGAGTCCTTCCTTAGAGCCCATCTAGCTAAACTATCCATTGTTGCCCGGCCACCCAACATGAGATTCACCTATTGTTGCCCGGCCACCCGACGTCGGCCGACGGTCTGACTCGGCCATTGTTGTCCGGTCGGCCGAGGCATCAAACAATCAAAATCTGCCCGGGCGGCCGACAAGGTGCCATTATCCCCCCGGATTATCCAGCAGGCGATGCTTGCATTGTTCCCGGAGCGGCCGACACTGGACAAATGGTATCCTCCCCGGGCGGCCGAGGGTCAGAAATACCAATCCTGCCGGGTCGGCCAATGGTCATACAATGCAATCCTGTCCGCCTGGCCGACATCAGGAATCTGCATACACAGCGGGTTGGCCGACAGGCTGTGTTCACTCAGGAATTGCATCCATAGCAGGTCGGCTGGCCACAGGATTTTGGCTTCCGAGGACAGGTTTCCGAGGTCGGGCTTCCCAGACTGGGCTTCCGAGCCCGGACATCCGACACCGGACATCCGACACCGGACGCCCGCCACCGGAAGCCCGCCACCGGACATCCCGGGTCAGGCATCTGGGACCGGGTGACTGTGCTTTTAGGATGCTCTTCAGTGGATTCATTAATCAAGCAGTCCCTATGTGCAGAACAATGTAAATGTGATGCACTGATTGATTTCCGAGTATTTCCTTCCCAATCTGGATACCTCCTTCCTAATCCGGACTGGGTAGACCATCCGGATGTGCATAGCTACCACTGGAAGTCTGAAAACATTTTTTGAACACTTCCTGTGTACAGGACAGCGCAAATGCACTCTGATTGCCAAAGTGAATGATTTCCGGACACTGCCTGCCAAATCCGGACACCTCCTTCCTAATCTGGACTGAATGGTTCTGTCCGGCTTCGGACACCCGCCACCGGACGCCCGACACCGGACGTCCGAGCTCGGAAGTCCGGATTTATTAACTACATACTTCATGTGTGCAGAAATCATTTTCCGGTGTGTAAGTGGTCAAGTAATCATTTGCTGAACATTGCCTTCCAAATCCGGACTGTCCGCTTCGGGCGCCCGAGTTCGGACACCCGACGTCAGACGCCCGAGTCCGGATTTATTAACTGCACATTTCCTGTGTGTAGAAATCATTTTCCGGTGTGTGAATGCATCCCTGTGGTCAAGTAATCAATTGCTACACATCTCCTTCCTAATTTGGACTGTCCGGCTTCGGACACCCGAGCTCGGACACCCGACATTGGACGCCCGACATTGGACGTCCGACATCGGACGTCGTCCGGGTTCGGACACTGGAGCTCGGAAGCCTGAGAAGTCCGGATTTATTGACCACACACTTCCTGTGTGTAGAAATCATTTTCCAGTGTGCAAATGCATTCCTGTGGTCAAGGAATTGTTTGCTGACCATCTCCTTCCTAATCCGGACCATCCGGATTCGGACACCCGAGCTAGGGCGCCCGAGATCGGATGTCTGAGAGCGGAAGTCCGGATTTATTCAGTAATCACTTCTGTTGTACATAAGTTGTTTTCTGGTGTGTAAAAGTGTTTCATTCATAGACTCTAGTATTGAGTTCCTAATGTCTAAGGATCTTTACTTTGGCTACAACATGCAATGCAAGATTTACTCACAGGCTTGTTTCCAAACATACTATTCAACTTCTGAAGCCAATATTGTTTGCCCACAATATCTGACTATCTAGAATGTGTTCTTTCAAAGTAAAGAGCAAATCCCCAACAGGAATAGTCTTATTCTTTGAAGCTGAATGCAAGAGCAGAGATAAGGAATTGTGTAGTGTATGGAATATGTGCCATAACATGTTCACTGCCTGCAGCCAAACTACATTCAAAACAATGTTTGACTATCTAGAATGGGTCATTTACACACAAGGAGTGAGTCTTCCAAAGGAATAGTCTTATTCACCCAAGCTGAAAGCTGGGCAAAGATAAGAGGAATGTGAGTGCATTGTGAAGCATACAAAACAATGCTACAACATCAATCTTGAAGTTACTGCAACACCACAAGCAAAATAGCATACACATCACACTACTGTATTACTCCAATGAACTACTCATACTAGAGTCTACATGGTGCTGTTCTTAACAGTCAATGAAAGTGAACTGTCATTGACAGCCTGATACACATTGGGTACTACAGGGTCAATATGAAGCACTACACATCCACTTTATGAAGGATTACTGGATTTGGAAGGTTACTCACCATTTAAGGCAATGCAAACTTTTGTGAACCTTCTCATGCAATAGCCCTCCCATATACCTTGGGTACTACAGGGTCATTATTCCATGTAGCATTATTCTAATACATGACTATATTTCATTTTCTTTGTCATGTTACTGATGAACTGTATACCTATTACCTAAGTTCATATTCAAATCACACACACTAACTCATCCATAGTTCTGTTGTTCCCTCATGACATAGTGTTGCTAGTCTTATATTGACAACAGACAAGGGTACACACTACTGAATCCAGATAGTATCTTGTATCAAGGGAACTACATTACAACCTCTGATTCAACAACTCACAGTAGCAGACACACTGGCATGCTGCCAGTAACAGCTCACTGGTAAAAGTCAATAGACAGTCTGAATTGAAAGGACACACAATAATGTCACTACATTGACAATAGGAAAGCCATTACACACCAGAAAGTGATAAACAAACAGCAGAAGTGATTAATGAATGAATCCGGACGTCCGATGTCGGGCGTCCGATGTCGGGTGTCCGAGCTCGGGTGTCCGAAGCCGGACAGTCCAAATTAGGAAGGAGATGTGTAGCAATTGATTACTTGACCACAGGGATGCATTCACACACCGGAAAATGATTTCTACACACAGGAAATGTGCAGTTAATAAATCCGGACTCGGGCGTCTGACGTCGGGTGTCCGAGCTCGGGTGTCCGAAGCCGGACAGTCCAAATTAGGAAGGAGATGTGTAGCAATTGATTACTTGACCACAGGGATGCATTCACACACCGGAAAATGATTTCTACACACAGGAAATGTGCAGTTAATAAATCCGGACTCGGGCGTCTGACGTCGGGTGTCCGAACTCGGGCGCCCGAAGCGGACAGTCCGGATTTGGAAGGCAATGTTCAGCAAATGATTACTTGACCACTTACACACCGGAAAATGATTTCTGCACACATGAAGTATGTAGTTAATAAATCCGGACTTCCGAGCTCGGACGTCCGGTGTCGGGCGTCCGGTGGCGGGTGTCCGAAGCCGGACAGAACCATTCAGTCCAGATTAGGAAGGAGGTGTCCGGATTTGGCAGGCAGTGTCCGGAAATCATTCACTTTGGCAATCAGAGTGCATTTGCGCTGTCCTGTACACAGGAAGTGTTCAAAAAATGTTTTCAGACTTCCAGTGGTAGCTATGCACATCCGGATGGTCTACCCAGTCCGGATTAGGAAGGAGGTATCCAGATTGGGAAGGAAATACTCGGAAATCAATCAGTGCATCACATTTACATTGTTCTGCACATAGGGACTGCTTGATTAATGAATCCACTGAAGAGCATCCTAAAAGCACAGTCACCCGGTCCCAGATGCCTGACCCGGGATGTCCGGTGGCGGGCTTCCGGTGGCGGGCGTCCGGTGTCGGATGTCCGGTGTCGGATGTCCGGGCTCGGAAGCCCAGTCTGGGAAGCCCGACCTCGGAAACCTGTCCTCGGAAGCCAAAATCCTGTGGCCAGCCGACCTGCTATGGATGCAATTCCTGAGTGAACACAGCCTGTCGGCCAACCCGCTGTGTATGCAGATTCCTGATGTCGGCCAGGCGGACAGGATTGCATTGTATGACCATTGGCCGACCCGGCAGGATTGGTATTTCTGACCCTCGGCCGCCCGGGGAGGATACCATTTGTCCAGTGTCGGCCGCTCCGGGAACAATGCAAGCATCGCCTGCTGGATAATCCGGGGGGATAATGGCACCTTGTCGGCCGCCCGGGCAGATTTTGATTGTTTGATGCCTCGGCCGACCGGACAACAATGGCCGAGTCAGACCGTCGGCCGACGTCGGGTGGCCGGGCAACAATAGGTGAATCTCATGTTGGGTGGCCGGGTAACAAACCGACATTTTGACCCCATTATGTGTTCCTTAACACCCAGCGACGCCTCGAGATCCGCGCCGGCTTCGATCGTGGCACCGTTGACCGTCGACTCGACACCCTCGCCGAGAAGGTCCGCGCCCTGGAGGCCTTCCGGGGTTATATCCGATCCCGTCTCGACACTATCCAAAACGATTCCTCCGTCCAGGCCGCCCTCGACGTCATCGAGACCCAGCTCTCATACGTTCTCGAGCATATCCGCTCCACCCCATCCAGCTCGTCTGCCCATCCCTCTCCGCCCCTCCGCGGGTCACGCTCTCCTTCCGACGCGACGCCCGCACCTTCCGCCCCCTCCGCTTGACTCCCCGCCTCCCCTTCTCCCTGTCAATCCCCTTCCTCCGTGTCCGACTCCTCCTCTTCATCGTCCACGCCAAACCGCTCTTCAAGCTCTTCGTTCTCATCTGGTAGGTACTCCTCCCATTCTTCTAAGTCCGTGATCTCAACCCGCGCCTTGTCCCTTCCGCGATAGGGTATCACCCGGAATGCAGCGTATCTATGCCTAGACACACTCCCGTCCAGTTCCGCGAGGATGTATGATCCTCCCTCCGTCCGCCGTACCACGATCATTGGGCCCAGGTACCGTTGCTTCGCCTTCCGACTATGTTCCGTCTCGATCTGGGAGTTCCGTACTAGCACTAGTTCTCCAGGTTCGAACTTGTAGTCCTTGATAGTATGTTTGTTCCGCTTAATGAACTCCTTGACCGACCTATACCTCGCCTTAAGTACCTTCCGATGGATCTCGTTAAGATCCTCCCTCCGCTTCAGCAGCTGTCCCGCGCGATGCGCGATGAACTCTTCCTGCGTGAGCATTTCTTCCGGTGCCGGGACCAGGTAGGTTGCTTCCGCCAGGTCAAATGGGAAGATGGGTTCCACCCCGTGCATGATTCGGTATGGCGACATCCCTGTGCTTTTCTGTATCGACACTTGTTCCGCCCAGAAAACCGCGTCAATTACCGAAGGCCACTTCGACTCGTTTCCTCCGCAGAGCTTCATCGTCGCCTCACGCACATCGAAGTGCCTCCGCTCGACGATTCCGTTCGCTCTTGAGTTATACGGCGAGATCTTGATGTGACGGATCCCGTACTTCTTCGCCAGGTATTCCATCGCCGCGAGGAACGCGGGACCATTGTCCGTCACGATCTCCGCCACCGCCCCCCACCGGCAGAGAATGTCTTCGTAAATCCACGCCCCGAGTATCGTCCCCGTCTCCTTCCGCAGCTTCCGGAACTCCGGATACGACCCAAGCGAACACCTCCCTTGGACCACCATCTTATATCCTCCCGCGGCAGGCATGTGCATCGTGTCCATGTACACCTTGTGGAATAGTCCCTGCGGTATCGCAACCGTTGGAGGGATCTTCAACCGTTGCGTGCTTCTGAGCTGGCATGCGTGGCAGGTGCTCACGTACCACCGTACGTCCTGGTCCAGAAACGGCCACCAAAAACGTTCCAGCAGCCTCGTCCGCACCGTAAGTACTCCCTTATGTCCAAGGTCGTCGTGTGCCTCCTTCAACAGTCCCAACCTCCGTTCCCTCCGAATCACCCGCTTGTGCTTCCCGCCTGGATCTCGTCGCCAGAGTTTCCCTCCGCGTAAGAAGAACTGTCCCGCCTTCCGCACGAATCTCCTGAACGCTCCCTCGTCCGTCATTCCTTCCGGTCTCTCGGTAGTCTTCAGGAACTCTTCAATGCGGACCAAATCTTCTTCCGCCGCGTCTGCTTTGTCGTGCTGCGGAATTTCAACCCCTTCCGCGCCCACGACCATCTCCCCACTTATCAGGCAGAGCACTCGCTCCTCCTCCCGCGCCCGCAGTCCCTTCCGCCGATAGCTCGGCTCACTGGAGTTCCAAGTTTCGATCGTAAATGCGCAGGCCTCGTCGATCCACTCCTCAGGATCCCCCTCCTCGTCCGGATCTTCCTCCGCTCTCTCCCTCCGCGACAGCCCGTCTGCTCCGGAGTGTAGCACCCCTGGAACATGCACTAGCTTGAAATCGAACAGTAAGATCGCCGCTATCCACCGATTCATGGCTGCGTTCGGCTGGATATCGGGGTTGTTCAACATTCCCTTAATGTACTTCGCGTCGACCTCGACTTCCAGCTTCCGCACCCCGATGATGTGGATCCTCGACGCCCGCAACGCTCGAAAGAGTCCGTATAGCTCGACCTTAGCCTGTGAATATCGTGACTCCCGTTCGTTCCACGTTATAGACCCGAATCGACTTGGACATTTCCTTCCCTTCCCGTCCCGCTGGAGCAGGACAAATCCAACCCCGATTACCGAGGAGTCCACAGCTAGAATCACCACCCGATCCACTGTATAGTCGATCGGAAGGAGCGCAGGGCAGTTCACGAGTGCTTCTTTCAGTGTTTCCATCGCCAGCTCTTCTTCCGCCCCCCATCCGAAGTCAACCTCCCTCCGCGTCAACCTAGTGAGTGGCCTTGCGATCTTTGAGAAGTCCTTGATGAAGATCCGAACCAGCCCCATCGTCCCAAGGAAGGCCCGCACGTCCGTCACCGTCTTGCACGCTGGCCAGTCGCGGATCTTCTGCACCCTTGCATCGTCAGGCTCCCTTCCGGTGTATGTGCACTTATGTCCCAGGACTACCACGTCCGGTACGCACAGATGTGCCTTCTTTCCCGAGAACGTCCCTCCGACGGCACCCATCCTTTGGAGGATGCGGTTCATGTTCTCCAGGTGTTCCCACACGAATCGCCTTATGCCTGGATTCCCTCCGATGGTCTCGTACCCTCCGCCGGGAAGCTTGTACCTAGTTTTCGGCCCTTTGCGTTCACGTCATCGCGAATGGTATTGTTACGTCCGGAATCTCGTCCTGCATGATGAACGTTACGTCCCCATGTACGATCTGCATCGCGTTCGTATATCCCATCGGTACTGCCGTCAATCGCAGGGCCCCAGTGGTGACTGGAACGTTGTGAGGTCCCTCGACCGAATCGCCAGCCCCCGCTGATCGAATGCTACGAACAAATCCAGGGCCCCGTAGCATGCCCTTCCGCCAAACGATTCCGCCAGCTGCTCGATGAACGGAGGGACCGCCGCATCCTTGATCGTAACAGCGTTTAGTGGCTGCAGGTCGTGTACCAGTCGGAGAGACTTTCCATCCTTCTTGACCACGCAGAACCATCGCGAGCGATACGACGAGCTTGATGGCTCGTACACTCCGGACGCGATTTTGTCCTTGATGATGCGGACGACCTCGTCGTAAATTCCAGGAGGAATCAGGATGTTCTTCAGTACCCACGGAATGTGCTCGACCGTTGGGATTACCACAGGATTGAAATACTCTTCCCTCAGTCGCCCCTTCTCCGTCTCGTCCCACGCAAAGACTTTGTCGTGCATCCCTACGAGCCAGTCCACCAGCTTCACCTCCTCCGGCCATAGGAATCCGCTTCGTCCTACGTCTAGTGCATCCCTCCGTTCCTGCGTGTACCTTCCGCGCGGAATGAACTCCGGCGCGACGATCGGCATAACGGGCATGCCCGCTAGCGGATCGGTCGGCGCCCTTTGCACCACCCTAAACTCCTCGGGAGCGTTGCGGCCACTGGTCGTACCTTCCGAGCCACCTTCTTGTAGGCCAGCACCTCGATTCCCACCCCGTTTCTACTTTGAACACCTCCTCCTCCTCCCACCCGTCTTCCTCCGACTCGTAGTCTTCTTCCGCCGACTCGTAGTCTTCCTCCGCCGACTCGTAGTCTTCTTCCGCCGACTCGTAGTCTTCTTCTGCCGACTCGTAGTTTCCTTCCCCGGACTTGGTCCCTCTTCGCCGACTCGTACCTCCTTCCGCTGAGTCGCCGTCTCCTCCGTCAACTCGTCGTATCGTCCCTCACCCCCACGCGCTCCTCCACCGACTCCTCTCGACTCCTTCACCTCGTCGATGTTTCTCTGCCTCCCGCACCTCGTACTGAGCAACGTCTCGTGTATTTCGTCGCTAAGATCCAAGGTCTCGTTACAACTCGGGAAAGGGTATCTGCAGAGTCCATCGACGATCCATAGTCGCTAAGCCTGGCGGTAGGCGCATCCGTTCCTTCCGCACCCTCTCCGTCCCAGACATATACTGAGTAGTGGCCCATAAGATCGTCTCCGCTCGCGTTGCTTGCATCATCGACATCTAAAAATCCTCCGCGGGAGGATCTTCGGCCGGGCGTCCTTCACTCTTCTTTTTCGACCCCGCACGGCGCTCGAAGGAGGGAACCATCACACGGCGGTTGCTCTGCGGATCGGTGAGGACAACCGTCTGGCTTCCGTCCTTGAAGTCCCGGGTCTCGCAGCAGCTCGCGGCGAAGAAGGGCCGACCCAGGAGCACCTCGAAAGGAGCGTCCCTTACCACTTGGACATTCATGACGATCTTCACCTCGTCATCGAACACGAACTCCATCCCGATGGCCTTCCCTATCGTCCGAGTGGTCGTCTTGTTCGCGCTTTCCATTACGCATCCTTCGTCAGGGCGAAGACTCCCTCCGACACGCTCCCAAATGTCCTTCCGCATCAGGACCATCTGCGCCCCGGAATCCAGGATGCAGGCTGCCCTTCCGATGCCATTGATCAGGGGCCGCAGCTCCCGCAGCGTCAAGGAGTCCCAGTACCCGCTGTCGAATATGTTCCCTCCGCTGGACAACTCGGTGGTCCCCACGTTCCACACCGCTTCCTCCGCCATGCCAGCGACCTGCACACGCTGCGTCTTGATCTGCTCGTCAACTACCTTCCGAAACTCCTGGCTGATCTCGAGAATCTCGCCCCAGCTCGCCTTCTGATCACTCTCGTACATCATCCGCCGCGCCAGATCTTCGGCCTTCGCTCGAGGGTCCTTTCCCTCGTTGATCTTTGCCTGGAACCGATACTGTGGTTCGGCTGTCCGCCCTTTCCCCTGATCCTTCGCCACCGGGCCTCCTCCGCTCGTTCCGGCTGATACCCCCTTTGCTGGGATGCCCGGCGGCTTCCCAACCGCCCCGCGCACAGTTCCTCCGCTGGGCTTGCTTCCGCGCGCATCCTCTTCCGCTGGAGGATCCCTAAAAGATACCTTCTTCCCTCCTCCGCGCACTCGAGCCACCTCCGCCGCTAAGACACGTGCACGTTCCTCTAAGTCCTCGGCGCGCCTGAGTGAGTCCTCTTCCTCGGTCGTCTCCTCGACCGTATATCCTTCGATGATCTCTACAATGTTCGCTCCTAGATGCGGCGGCCCATCCCGAATCTGCCCGTCGTTCCCTCCGACGTTCCCTTGCTGCTGCGGCTGCCCACCATTCCCTCCGCCGCCCAAGTTAGCCATCCTCGCCTCGATAGCGTCGATCA